GGGCGGGAAGAAAGAAGTGAATTAATTGGAGTTGATCGTACGGCATGGCTCGGCCATACAGGCGTGGTCCCAGATGAATATTACCTTATATCTTATATTCATATTAAATATATTGTTCCACCACCAACCTAAGAATGTTCTCTATCATGTATTGGTAACTACTACGATGCAGTGAGTTGGTGTAGACGATGATGTGACTTCCACGTAAGATCTTATAGATTAGGCAGTTATATCATGACAAATCTACAATTTTAGGATTAGGTCTATTATTAGAGCAGTACTAATATCATATTAGACCGTAATTCTTCATATGTTCTTCTGGTCAGCCACATGCTAAAATCAGTGGAGGATGAAGGATATCGCGAGGCTTGCTATAATCTGGGCACAACCCCATCAAGAACATGATGATTATGCGAGGCGACCTCGAAAGACGGATCCTGACTATGCAGACCATAATCTTCTAGAGCTGAAATTCATGAAGTGGTCCTTGAAGCCCAGGTACATCGTGACACAAAAAGTGGTGTTATTATCCGAGGGCGGTGGGGATTCTAGACCCAGACTAATAAAGACAGAGTTCCCACCCTATAAAGTGACTGCTGTCACTCTCAAGGCACTCTAAGCTGACAAACTCTGGTCACCAAGTGGAATTACATGCATCTGGACGGGTCACATGATGCAAGGATTAAGCACGCAAGCAGTGGGAACTGACCATTACACTCGTGGACTGTCTAGAACAAGGAACAAAGTGAGAGGGACAGGGACTGCGTGCTTAGAAAACTCTATGTGGATAGGTTGCCAGTTCACTCACACAAGGTCCATGCAGACAAAGAACGGGGAATATCTAGCGTTTTAAATTGTAGGCACCAACTACTGATACAGAAACTCGCAAGTTTACCATACAAAATGAATAAATCGCATGAACTATGTGGAGTCAATAATACTCATCTGATGAAACTGTCTAAAGCGAAGGCATCATTTTATATTATTGACAAAGGACTGGCATTATACGAAACGTTTTAGTCCCGCGACAACAGAAAAACAGGAGTGGGGGCGGAGCAACCCTGTTGATACCGTCAAGCCTCTGGCAGAACAGTATTCTCATACGTTTTAACCGTCACATACAAACCACATCGACTAGGGCTTCGCCGGCAACTCAACGGGACTCTTGGAGGTGAACTTGGGCGCTGACCTGGAGCATCAGAAACCGTAGCACCCAAGCATTGATACTTCTGGTTCGAGTCTGATTCATAGAATTATAGTGAGAGAGGCGGTTTTATTCTTGACAAGGCCGCTTAGTACAAGGATCTCACATTCATTAAGCTGAGGCACAGTCCCAGAAGATTGAAAGTCGACGAACATTTAGTCAGTTTTTGAGAGAAGCTGACTGAGCGAACCTTTCGGCTGGTAGCACTTCTATCACTACCATCAGAAATTACGAAGTCTTTGATACACAACTATTTACATGTTATCCACAATCCTCTTTAGACCTCAACAGCATGGGTTAAGGAAGAACCACCTTTGTACAACCGACCTTCTGACCTCTATGAACAGGCGGACAACCGTTCTTGATCGAAGGGAGAGAGTTGATGTCATAAACATGGATTTCTTAAAATCTTTCGATAGTGTCAGTCGTATATACCTGATCAGTGGGCCCGAAATGCTGGTTCCAACTCATTTTTAATTGATAGGTTTACACCATATCCATATAATCAGTTTTATAAGTCTAGGACAAACCTCAATTTTTCTCATACTACACAATGCCTTGTAACAACTTAGGTTTACTGGTAAAGATTTGTCCACAAACATCTTGGTAATGTCATGACATTACAGCTTAAGACTACTGTCACAAACCCATAGTTGTATATTTGGTTGTGATTGGAACTTCTGACAGATACATATGGATTTTTTTTCTTGAAAAAAGTAACCTGCCGTTTCAATGCATCATCGCGCTCGAGTTGGCTAGACCGTGTCTATTTCCTTCCAGGTTACCAACCCGTTTGGAAAACAAAAACTTATGTGGAACCGAACATTTATCACTTACAATTTTATATTTCCTTATGTATATATCTGTAATATATTTCTGCCAGGGCAAAACATGCCATTTTTAAAGGCATGATCTGATTGCCTGATTGTTTTGTATAAGCAGTGCAGCAATTCCCCAGATTTGACTGACTTTAATTACATGTTTTTCCTCGAAGTATATTCTTCTTTATTTTTGACTTGAGGGCGATTCAAGAGGCACGTGAGTAAACACCTGATAAGCCCTCAGGGAAATCGTAACTCACAATCATGGTGTTGGGTGGCCTGCTCGCAGTATTTATTAAGATATTCTTGTTTCATTTTCCTACCCTCCACTCTCTTACAAACTCTGATTCTCATCTGGAGGACACGATCAAAAATCATGGGTGATAATTTGAGGGAGAGGGCAAACGCTGTGAAATAGGATAAAAAGCAAGTAAAGTATATGAAATTTATGGAGTATTTCCAAATACTGACTGATTGAAGTCAAACACTGAAGGAGTTAATGATTCTCCTTTGGGCTGAGGGAATAGAACTGACATGTTCTTGTTTGGTAAGGATACACTGACACGTATCCAAAGGCGAGCCACGAAATGAGTTCGGGGACTGAAATTCAAACATTGCAAAGAACGGATCAAATTATCGACTTACAAAATCCTAAACACTTCTTAGCACCTCCGAAATATCCACATAAGCTCAGTCCCAACACAAATCTTAGGGTGGCACGCAGAAATCAAAAGCAAAACAGAGAAAACTGGATCACAATCACACCTTTTACTCCTTGTGAGTAGTCAAACCCTTGAATTCTCTGCCAGTCAAGGTGGTCTAAGCCATTTCCCAGGAGTCCTACAAGAAAAAACTTGACATATTCTTAAGGACTAAAGACGATATTTCACAATGACTTACCAATATTTATTTTTCATCAATAAATATACCTATGTTCTTACTTAGAGAAATCAGTGATCCACTAATAACAGATACAGAAGTTCGTTAAACGAAAGTTGCTTTTATTCCGTCCACAATCACTAGCCCATTTAACTCAAGGTCGTCCGGGGCAAAATATCTGGTAAGTTTGATCGTCTAACTTCACGTTTAACTTCGAGTTGGAATATGTCCGAATTACCGTGTTGTATTATGTATTATATAACACTTATGTTTGATCAAGTGTTTTTATTCTTATTTCTTTTACACAAGAGACATATAGTTATTGCCTTTGACTGTCGTTTGTGTATAAACGATACCATAGTTGCAACTATAATACTTCCCAATTTCCCTATTTCGGGAAAATTTCATCCGTTTTAGGTAAATTTTGGGAAAGCCGCTACAAAAAGCTTCGTGGAAATGGCACAAAACCTCAAAATTTCCACAGGTCTCAAAAGTCATCGGGAAATTTCGGGTTTTCCCTAATATTTCTCCATAATCTCATGACACCTTGGTAATTTAAACTACAAAATTTCTTACGACTTTACCCAAAATAGCAATACTGTGTTCCTAAACAACTGATGAAGAGGAAATAAAGAGGAGCAACGTGGAAATAAAGTGGACATTTCGTTAGCATATAAAGGAGAAATAATGGGGAAACGCGCCAGAATGTCCACCTTTTCGCCTGCTATGGGTAAATAATGCAGAATTCACCCCTTCTTGTTTCCCTATGTCCCAAATGTCGCTGAGTTGTCTACTTCTGCCTTAATTTAGACACCGAATTATCCAGTTTTCGCCTATATATATATATATAATACAAATATAATATAAACAAAGTCTGACAGTGGAAAACCATGACACACTCCACTTGAGGTATACAACTCAGGTAAACTTCATCATAAGCTCTGATTCGACCAGTAGTGTCTGAGTAGAGAACTTTCACAAGGTTAATGTACTTATTTGGTACACCTTTCAGTGATAAACTCGGTCACGAAACCTCTCAATCGACAAGGTCAGATGCTTCCTTGCGGTCATGAAACTGTCCGCCGGTATGTGTGCCTGTTTTCCAAAATCTGACGAAAAGTAAATATTCAGTTCATACATGCACCTTTATGCGTGAAACATTCGCGATGCTCCTCAGTTCGCTTCTGACGAGTTCTAGTTAAGCATCACGTGATTATAGATACAAATATTTCAAACACTGTTAGTCGAGTTGACTTGTTTGTGGTTATCACAAGAAGATTGCTATCCTTTTTTATAAACTGAAAATCATCGATCAAGATCAGCCAGACGGGAGCATATCCTACTCCCAAACTCTTACCAGTATTCTAGTCACCCTAGCTGATCAGAGTTCAAGCTTGTGGCTGAAAAGAGATGTCAGTCTTTTGTCAAGCCTTTCAAAAGATTGGTGATGATGATATGATCTATTTGTGTCCACCGTTGTGTTGATGTCGGAAGGTACCAGTCCTCACATTATCTCTTGTTATGTTCAAAGTTTGTAGTTGCTAGGACTAAACGGTTGTTTGAGCGTATTTAGAGGAGACGGTCACCGTTATCTGCTGCGTTTTCCTGTGATGCCCTCAGGCACAATGAAGTATTTTTCAGTTTGATTTAGCTTACGGATGTGAGCGTTAAGGCGATCTGCTACTACTATTTTGTAAGAGTGCCTGGTTTTCCTAATGTCGTAAAGTTTTTTGTAAGTCACTTTGTACTCTATTTAAGATGAAGTTATCGGAACTTTGGCCGAGATGACGAAGGGACAGTGGTTTGTCAGTATATTTTGGTGTTCTTACTATATTGTTGAGATGGACAGCAAATAAGCAAAGTTACTAACTGCATTTGGCGATTTGTGTATGTAAATGTCTTAATGCTAAAAGTATAAAATTATCCTGAAAAGATTTATTTGCAGAAATAAAATTTTTAGGAGAAATTAAAATGCTGTATCCTCAATTTTAAGTAAAAGTAAATTCAGCTTGTTTACTGTTGGTTGAGCATAATTCTCGTCAATTTTTATATCATTGTTCGTCTCTAGATCATTTAAGCCTTTGAACTGAAATAGAATGGCTCGTATTGAACTCATACGTAGATTGCGACTATTCACAGTTTTACGTCGAATGTCAGATTATGATAATCGATTTGGTACAACCAAACTAGTGATTCCAGTTGTTTCACGTCCTGCTTCATTTTTTTCTTTCATCAAGTCGAAGCTTAGTGAAGCTGCCTCTAGTCAGTCTAAAGACTCTCAGAGTGTACCAAATGACAGGTAAGTTGGATCTACCTTTAAATTTTCTTATTTTATCATAACAGAATAATTTTTCATTGATCATAGATTGCCAGAAGTCTAATCTTGTTTCTCGTACGATTAAATAAATTTTCTGGTCGCTAAGATGTCAATTTCATAATTTATTTTATACTTTATTGGGAAGCAAAAAAGTTTAGGACGACGGGACATCACACTAAACGAAATAGTATTCTTGTAAGGAAAAGAAAAAGTGAACCTTGTGGTTACAATAAGGACTATAATACTAAAAGAGATGATTCAAATTCAAATATAACCAAGGTAGATTTCTTTCTCCTCAAAATATATCTTACTGTCTATGAAAAGCATAAACATGTTTAATGATGTTTCAACTTACAAAGTTTCGTAATTTCTATAATCTTATTCACATAGTCTTAATGAACTAACAAGTTCTTACCTGATAGTGCGATTTTTCATATTTCAATATTATTCTTAAGAATGACAACTCCAGCCAGCTTCACAGTTAGGAAACAGTCACATGAAGAGCGTTTACAAAGTCCTTAAGTGAATGTTGTACGACAACTCCACTAATTTGGTTATCACCAATATACTGAGACACGTCACCTAGTCTCTCAATCGAATGTAAGGTGAGTAATATTACAAAAGCAGAAATGGTCCAACAGAAAACCGTATAACGTACTCAGCTCAAAGCTTATGCTTCACAAAAGCATAATACAGGTACTGATACCGAAGTGTTGTACACTGGACCTTATATTCATTAGACTAACATGATAATAGGGCTAAATCTGATACTGTCCACCACACTACTACCAAAAACATCTACTTAAATACCTGTACTATTCCCAATGCCTTACAATAATATAGTGAGAGCAATCATAGAGTCCTCCTATTCTTGTATAGTTACTGTTCACTTCAATGATACATGCACCTGTCTATCATGCTGTTTAATATTCTTAATTTTTCTAACGTAATTACGGCGGAATCAATACATTTACCACTATTTTCTAAATAGTCTAACAGTCGTAGCTTAAGTGACAAATCAAACCTTCAACAGCATGTTTAGTATCAGTTGTACAGTTCAAAAATATTCTTTCTTGTAAAGTTAACCTATAGAACATAAACATCAGAGATAAACGATACTTGTAGACTTCAATCTTTTATCATTCTTGGAGTATTTATTGTGTATTATGGTACTTTTTAAAAACCTTTACTGATCAAAAATTGAAACATTCCATGAAAACCTTTTGTCCTTACTTTCCTCTGAGCTATATCAAAAGTTGTTGGCTTTTTGATATAAGCTCATGAGACATGATAAATTCAGTTGTAAACGCTAGTTTAAGCTGCTTCGAAATTGATCTTAGCAAACAAAATACACTTAATTTTCATCACTACTAGGAGTATGAACAGTATTATTTCATACAGAATGTTTTACCACTCGTTCTAATTTCACTAAATTTAATTCGATGTATCGCTTCGTGTTTATGTTTTCTTTTGTTTTGCTGTTAAGAGATAATCTGTTACTTTTATATCAAAGACTTGTTAATTAATGGTTCATTTTGTTACTAATCAAAATAAAAGGACTTGCAGTTGAGATTAGTGTAACAATTTCTACGTTGATACATTATTACTCCGATCCTTCGTTCAGTTTCACTTCAATCGCCATTTAGCTTGCTCATGTTTAGAAACTCAACTAACAGAAAAATATCAGTCGATTACAGCCTGACTTTTATTACAGCTCTTCTCATTGTTTTGTGTAAACAGCTTCCATAATTTAACTACTAAAAATTACTTAAATTGAAAATTGGCTATTCCATTTTGGTAGGTAACAAAATTGTATATTTCTGAGGTATCACGAAACACTAGTTCGGTACTGATTTATTTGTTTTTCAACGTAACTATTCGGGAAATGTTTAGCATTTCGAAGAATACTCACACTCACATTCAATTTTTGTATTTTGTTTCCCTTCGAAAATTTTAGTGAGTGGTTGGATGCAGTCCAAGAAGTTGAAAAATCGGAATTGTTACATTGGAAAGGATCTGATACTAGTATGACTAGGACAGAACTTCGAAAATGGAAGAAACGTACATTCCTTGTAAGCAATACTCACAGGATGTATTTTCTTTTATCGTAATCATATACACTTGTTATATATGATTTTTCAAAGTGTTATCTACATCATAATTTACTTGATTTAGTTATTATCAATATAGAACCCAAGCACAATGAGTGTGCATTTATCCAAGTTCCCATACCTCATATCAGAGTAGCTATTGGAAATCAACAAATTAACGATAGTTGGATGAGAAGTAACATGGATAGCAATTATCCTCGTACTCATTTTGATTACTTTCTCTAACTTGATTCCTGAACCATATATTTAGTGATAATTTTCTCTAACAAGTTGATAAATTTGGTCTGTTTCAGTATAGTTAATGATTGTGTAGTAACCTGACTGCTAAGTCAGTGGTTTTCCTCTATATTGTCTTTGTCCAATATGTCGACGTTTTCCTAGTCGAACACTTGTCCACAATTGGGATTTCTAACAACTCGTAGACATCAATCAACGAAAGTTATACTTATTAACATGAGTTCTAACAACGATCATTGACTCCATAAACTGATAATATATTTATCTGACTATCTCTAGTCATTTTTCCTTCTACACCTAATCAACAACATATCATTATTACTATTTCCTCTACTTCACTCTGCATCCCATTAATTTCGTATGTTTCTATCTCTCACTACGTTGACTTGACGTGTTACGATATGCACCAATAATATGCATGTATACCATATTTATAATTCTTCTATGACTGATTAAACAACTAATAATATCTAATACCTAAAGTTTGTACTTTTATCCCTTGTTATATTATTACAGCATATTTTAGAAATGTTTATTCAACGATCAGGACCAAGTCGTAAAGGATTCACTTCGTTCATTGAAAATGCACTAACTAAAATGCCTGAATACGAAGTGGTTGATGATTTAGATTGTTATAAAGCAGTAATTCGTTTATTTCCTACTGGACGAATGGTTGTGAAACGTTTCTTACAAGCGGATTTTGGTCATTTTCCAAAACAACAACAAGTTATGATTGACATATTAAGTCAAATGTCAAGATATCGTGAGTTGAATCTCTTTATTCCATAAAAAAATCTTTTTTACATCAGTATAAGTGTTCTATTGGGACTCTTTTAGTCTGATGATTTATAGATCCAAAATCTAAAGCAATAGGCATTGCGTTTGAGTCCCTTTGTGATTATCAACATTGGTATGTAGACGAACCCAGCTTATGAGTCTTGTATCCATAGCCAACTTTCAAGTATAGGGATTATGTAGCCATGCATTTAGAGAGCCTATATATTGTCAGATAAATCAAATTCAATACTGAATATCAAAGTGAATAAAAAAACAAACTGTTACAACTAATTGTAAGTGCGCAAATACGAGAGAACCAAGCTGGCTACAGACCTGGTCATGGCTGCATCGACCACATATTCACCATTCGTCAGGTTCTAGAACATAGGCATACTTATCGGCGCCCGACAATGGTGGTCTTTCTTGACTTAAAAGCAGCATTTGACTCTGTAGACCGCGAGATTCTGTGGCAGTGTCTGTCATTGAAAGGCGTACCTCAGAAGTACATAAACCTTGTGAAGGCTCTTTACTCGAACACTACCAGTCGCGTCAGAGCTTATGGCGAACTGTAATCTGCTTTTGCAACCTCAAGTGGTGTCCGTCAAGGCTGTCCACTTTCTCCATTTTTGTTTAACTTCATCATAGGCCTATTGATGGAAATAACATTCTCGTCTACTGAATTCTTGGGTATTGATCTCCTTCCAGGAGGTCCACTTATCGACTTAGAATACGCAGATGATATAGTCCTGATTGGTGAAGACGCTAATAAAATGCAAAGTCTTTTGGTAGCACTAAACAACAATGCCGGAATGTTTGGAATGCGCTTCTCTCCCTCTAAATTCAAGCTGCTGCTTCAGGACTGGTCTGCGTCAACACCTGAACTAAGGATAGGGAGTGAAGTAGTCGAACGCGTTGACAACTTGACTTATCTTGGAAGTCTGATCAGCCCTAATGGGTTGGAGTCTGATGAAATCTCAGCACGGATTCGTAAAGCTCGCTTGGCTTTTGCCAACTTACGTCACCTATGACGAAGGCGAAATATCCGTCTATCAATAAAAGGATGAGTATACTGCGCAACAGTCCGTTCTGTTTTAATTTACGGCAGCGAAACATGGCCATTAAGAGTAGAAGACACTCGTAAGCTACTAGTATTTGATCACAGTTGCCTCAGAAATATCTCTGGCGTCTGCTGGGATCACCGGGTCAGTAATAGTGAGGTTCGAGGCAGGGTATTAGGGAATGATGGTAAATCAGTTGATGAGGTTGTTAATCTTCATCGACTGAGATGGTTGGGCCACGTGTTACATATGCCTGAACACCGATTAGCACGACGTACAATGCTAACCGGTGTTCGGGATGGTTGGAAGAAAGTTAGGAGCGGCCAAACCAAAACGTGTCATCAGTGCTTGAAGTCACTAACTTGTAGTCTGAGCCATGTTGGTAGATGCAGACTACTTGGTTGGGGTCCGCGTGACTTTCGTAACCAATGGTTGGAGACCCTGTGTGACATGGCTCAGAATCGATCACAATGGCGTCGGTGTATACACTCTCTGTCTTCCCTTAAACTAAGAGATTAAAATCGCTTCATACTTCTCTTTCTACGAACTAATTCTTTCTTCCTGTACTATATCTTTATATTGCAATCTTTCTTTTATATATTACCACCTCTGAATTAACTACTTTTATGAATCCGGTGTCCATCTTGTTGTGCTAATGCGGTATGGCAACTTAGACCGATGCATATATGTGCCTGGTCGTACGTTGTAGCTGACTGACTGACTGAATTGTAATTTTAATTCATTATTCCATATTATCAGCGGCTGTTTACCATACCATAGTATACAACCAAAATTAATAGCATTTAAATAGAGATGGTTAATAATACTAAATAGACAGATCAATTCGTGTAGTATCTGATTGATAATTTCAATTTTGGGCTTAAGTGTAGGCATTTTTGTCCGACAAATGGAATCAGTAGCCTGGGATAATTCTTAAAGACATTCAATGATAGACATTATAGTCCAAGATGCCGAACTGCATACATTGCGAATGAAAATTAACAATCACACTCATTCTCAAACTTTTTTTTCGTTCTTCAATCTCATTCGTTCCTTTTGCACTGTTTTACAGTGTCGTCGACTTCCATTGCAGTTATGAAATTAATTTCTCTGCTTCTCTTGTTGATTTGTCCTGATGTTTCAAATCAAACTTAAATTAATACATATTCATGGCAGGTTTCCATTTGATAATGATGATTGACAACTGTCACCCACTAGAATTAAATATTGAAATTTATTTTTTAATCGATCTTGGTACGTTTGAGAAAACCTACACTTAGATAAAAATCTAGTTTTCGCTCGTTCACCAGTATGGAATAATATTGATTCTATTACCAAACAGATTAGCTCAACCACTCGATTCATTTTACTAATACCAATCAGTTCGTTATAATGAATGTCAACAGTGTTTAGTCTGATGTGCTAATGGTGAGCTTTTAAATTACGAGACTCATAATTATTAATCAGAAGTATATTTATTTAATATACTTCTTTTCTTACTGAATCATATCTCTTAAGCCTAATCTTTTCTATTACCATTAATATTGCTACTACTCTGGTATCTTGGTGCGCTGGTATGATGTGGCAACTTAAACTGACGCATATATGTGCCAGCTTCTACAGTGCGTATAAATGTCAGTCCTATACAACTTTCTTTGATACCCCGGCATCATGACATAAACGACTGTCAATGGGTCCAGTCGAATGTTTCTGCCCGTGCTATGTCTCTTAGTTCGGCACCAGCGCCAGCTAAACCGAATTATGGTGCCATCGTACCCCTGGATAAGCACCTATAAAACAAATTTTCTGAATCAACAGATGGAGAACCAATTTGTAGCTTTTCTTCAGAGTTTCGAATACGGTCTGCCGGGTGGAAAACATCACCGTTAAGACTTTTTAAATACATAGTCAAACATGTCTGTTTTCCTATCTGTTGCACTGTCCTGACCTTGGGGAAAATCTTTTAAAGTGGTACACATGACCTCAGGAAAGTTGATTCAAATTTTGTATTCGGTAGTAACATTCAAATATTTGAACATTCAGCGACTTGAGATAGTTTATACAGAACAGAGCTTTCGATATAAATGAGTTAATGAATGAGTTGAATAACAAGAGTTTACACAAAATGAGAATAAGAAGGGACAAAAACTCGAAGCAAAGTAATTTAATTTTTTTACGAGTCCATTATAGGTATTGCTTGATTAAGTAATGGAGCAGAGAGAATAAAACAGTTTTTTCTTTTCAAATTTATATTTACAATCATTAGAATTTCTGTCTCGGTCTGGATTAATTTTGATAACGCAGTGTATATACAGTTAAATGATAGTAGCTTTTTGTATACCTTATGTGAAGTTTTTTTATTATTACGTTGAAATTCACTAGACGTCCTGCCAGATGATGAAGTTGGCCAAATGATTATCGACGTTTTCGGTTGGCGTAATCATGCTATGAATGCTTATCGTCGTCTAATGTATTGGATGCCTAAATTGTATTATAGTAATCCATGGACATTACCACTTCGAATCGTTGATGATCTTGATTTAGATCCCATTAAATTGGGCTGTTTAATTGCTGAAAGAATATGCCCCGATCGGATGACAGAATTCACTGTTGTACAGGTTAGTTAATTAAACAAAAATTAGCGTCTATCGATTAATACAATTTTATTAAGATGCCTACGTCAGTCATAATCATTGTAGAGTCTGACACATTTGTGAGTTGACCCAGGTTCTCGTACCACATCAGCACAATCAGATGAAATTACCAACATGAATAATAAAAGGGTCGAAACGGTGTAGTAGCAATGCTAACGAGGAAGACTAAACATTGAGAATAAGATTTGAAAATACTGAATGAAAACGTAGTCGTGGAAGAATGTTGGAACTCAAAATCTCTAGAGGAAGATAAAAAGTGAGTGAATCTGAGTCTTTGTGACCGATTCTGAGTTATATTAATCAAAATCTTGTGCGAACTCAAGTTTGAGTTCAATTTGAACGTAATTTTCATCACTCACTGATGTCCAGCTATAGAAGACCTCTACAAAACAAGGACACTCGACAGTTATTTCGCTACTCACAGTCAGTAAGAATTTAGTGATCTGAAAGTTTTGGCTTAACTAGGAAATTAAAGGCATTGGGCCCGAATCCTGATCTGTACTATCAAGTAATATACAATTGGGTCCGATTCCCGCGTTTGAGGTCGTTGATACTCAGTGCCGAGGAGTTTCGTACCAGGAAAAAACACCCGTTTATTTACTTCCAGGTTTTCAATAGTGGTTTAGTATTGATCGGTTCACTATTTCAAATAAATACTACTGTAAAACCCAACAAAAATGCACGCAAGTTAGTTCATCCAACTATTACTCATTTACCCAAAACCAAAATAGTTAAATTAGTTTCAACTAATGACGCAATGGATGAATGGTTAAGTACTTCAAGTAGTGAATCACAAGTCCACACATTCAGCATGACCATCGATGTTGTGTAGGTAGAAGCCAATTTTGATTGGTTGATGTTCTAGATAGACAGTCAATATGTCCGATTTGTAATCTATGTTTTTACCCTCTATATTTTTTCATAATATGTGTTAGTCAGGAAAGTAATGTTTTCTTAATGGAATTCCATTTGACATGTGATGGCCTGGTTGCTATCTGGATATCTATTATGGTACGTGTCAATTCCGTACTTAATATTAAGGATTCTATTGCTCATTCGAAGAAATCTAGTGTTCTAAAAAAAGTTAGACTTCATTTCAATTAGTTACTATTCATTGGACCCATTTTTATGTACGTAACTTATTCTCTCATCACTTTTTATGCTGCTTATTGATAAAAAATGGTTGTTCGGTTCACCCCTTTGCTTTTAGTAGTATTTCCCTAAGAATTAGATTATTTTAAGATTCAGTAGAGATTTTGAAAATTTCTGCTTACTTAACCTACTATTAATGTTTATACTTTTTCACAACAAAAATCTGTCATGGACAAACAATCCGTATTCTCATCATGACCATTACTGTTCTCTTAGTAACCAAATAATCTTCTAATATCTTAACTTGTTATATGCCTTTCAGAATCATGTGCACATTTTATTTATGCAGAATAATTGTATCATCCTTTCCATTTTCAGGAAACTTACGTCTGTGACCCCTCGTGGGAGCATAGACCGCTAACCAACTCTGTCTGTGCTGTCCTTTCCAATTGTTTCCATTTGCTATTCATTCTTTTCATGTCTGTCTCCAATTCATTTCGCAATAGGTCTTCCTCTTTTCCTTTTGCCTTCGGGATTCTGAGCTAGGGCTTACCTTGTGATGCGCTCTGATGATTTCCACAGTGTATGTCCTATTCACCTTCGGCATCTTTTTCTAGTTTCCTCTTTAGCTGGAAGCTGGTTTGTTCTCTCCCACAGTGGGCTATTTCTGATGGTATCCGGTCAATGGGCATTGAGTATGTTGCGTAGACAATTGTTTATAAATAATAAATAGTGTACAACTGCATCTCTCGAATCTTATCTTTTCTGTCCAGGTTGGGCTCAATGGCTTCCACTTATTCCGAGCACTGCCAAATTGTATCTCCTCATTCCCGCAGCAATTCGACTGGTCCTCCTAATCTCCCACATTGTCCGAACATTCCACATATCTATATTAATTGTTTCCCTGGTTGTTGGAAGGTAGGTCGGCATAATGACTTCTGAAGAATCTCGGTTTTCATCATGAGGCGTAATAATTCTCCTAAATGAAGATCCTTCAACTTCCAGGGTAGAGTATGAATAGTCTAAACGATTTTTTCTCGTTAGCGTCTCATTAGCAAGGTTGTTTTCTATGGGATTGAGTTGGTGATCCCATGAAAAACCTACTCTTATCCGGACTTAGGACCGGCAGTAACCCTAAAAGGACAACGGATAGAGTTTTTTAGAAGACCGATTACTTTGATGTGTAAGGACGATCTAAGTGTGAATTAGTGCCACTACTATGGATCAAGCGCGTATTATTCATATTGTAGCATTAGATTTTCTGCGCTAATGCTAATTGCGAATATCTAATGTAACCGGTATCTTTTATCTTTCTTGTTTTCGCCATGATTGTTGAACTTCTTTTTTTGCTGGTATTTTTTAGATGTCTTCATCTAATCCTGATAGACCAGATTCAATTATCAGTGCTCAAAGTCCTGAACAGCGTGCATTACTAGCATATTGTACCAATAAACAAATTCACAATGATCAAATTAATAATACTCAATGTACAAAACCAACGATTTATTTAGATGGACCACATTATGTATGGTTTAGAAATTTACAAGTAAGTAGGATTGATGTACTGAGAATTAACATAATAATATTCAGTCAATTTTCACAACATATACATAAATTGTGGTGGAGTTTTGTTCTCTGAGCTGAATGGTTTAGTTGTGGAGCTTCCGAGCAACATGACAATTTTGTTGAAAGTTCCACAACTAAACCATCCAGCTCGGAGAACGAAAATCCATTCACATGAACTTCAAATATTGCCCACCATCTTAATGCACATAGATAATTCATATCTCTTCAGTTTTATTATTTGGTTGATTGTATCTTTAAAAAGTGAAGTAAATTTTACTTCATTTGTGAATAAGTAAGTGGTTCAAGTATGTGTACAAAGTTTGTTTTATCTAATATATAGTAGTTTCCGCTTCCTCATCCCGTAATCCAGCTGTTTGATACCTAAATACAAAGTAAATCCGATTCGTTGACATCAATGTTTTCTCAATATCTATCGGGTCGTTTGAGACGTGTACTATTCATCAAAGGGATGAAGATTGGTTATGGATTATGACTTCATCTACCGTTATAAAACGTTTCTTAACGAAAAATTGGCAGACTAATTTGTGTCCAGAAAGGATTACCTCAATTATAAATCCATTTAAGTTATTACTCAGTCGTAATCAATGTGAGATACGGGACGGATGTTCTAGTTACCTCGCGTCATATCCGTACAATGAGATAAAATTAACAAAATACCAAAGGAGTCGAAATAATCATATAGTTCTATTTGGTGAAGACGGTGACAAAATGCAGAGTTTTTTGACCACCGTAAGCAACAATGCAAGCATGTCCGGCATGCGATTCTCCCTTTGAAATGCAAAATGTTACTTCAAGATTGGGTTGCATCGGCACCTGAACTAATGATAGGGAGTGAAGTGGTTGAGCGTGTTGACCTCTCCACTTATCTTAGGAGTCTCATCAGCCCAAAGTTCAAAGTCTCTGACCATTGGTTACGATATTCTGACGGACCCCGAGAGCATTATGTACACCTACCCATATGGCTCTGTTCAACAGACAGTGACTTCACGGACTAATGACACGTTTTTATTTGGCCGCCCTTGACTATCTCTCAGCCTACTACACCAGACAATATGGCCCGTCGAGGTAAGCAGTTGTTAGGCATGCACAACACGTGTCCTAGTCACCTCAATTCATGAAAATCCACTGCCTCGTTAACTGATTTACCATGTTTACCTAGTACTCGATGTCTAACTTTAGCATTGGTTACTCGATAGTCCGGAAACCAGTGTTAGTTAATGGTGTGATGATGTTTCTCTTGTAAATTCTTTATAAACACTTGTGTCTTTACTACTAGACTCTTTATTGTTTCGGTCATTTTATATGTATCTTGTTTCCATTTTATCCTTGTTCTGGGTTGGGACAAGTTGAGTGCAATGTAGTGGTTATAGATATTAAACAAGTGGAGTCGTAACATGGTGTCAATGTAATCCTCTTTTTCTCCTTACTTCTTTATGCATAGGCTGCTTATTACACCTTATGGACAGAGATCGATGCTGATCGATTAAAAAAAGAAATTAATTCAGTAAAAGTTAACCAAGTGCCAAAGCATAGTGCAGACGGTAAGTGTTTATTTCCGTTAAAGATCCTGTTTTTGTGTTTTTCATGTTATAAAATGATTTTATATAAGGTAGTCGATCAAGACAGACATTGTAATGATCTTACATACTCTATTAACCACCAACTTCGGTACTGTATTCATTCACACGATCAGTTGACCACACGTCCTCAGACCTCCAATCAACAAACACTATAAATCCCAGATGAATGATTGTAAGTATCTTCCTAGATCACAATACCAGGAAGTACAAGATACAACGACAGCTAGTGAGTTGAGTCAACAGTTAGGACTATATAATAACTCATCAAGGAATAACCACCCAAATTTGGTATTTCCTTTTTGCTTACTTTTCTTAATTGACTTATATCTCTAATCAATCTTTAGGGGGAAGTAATTGTAAGATGATTCTCTTTTAGGAGATTTTCACTTGAAATAGTTGTTGATTTCAATATCATGTGAATTAAATTATTAATCGATCTGTTTATTGTATTATGTCGCTTAAAGTCTAATAAGTTTATGCATTGAACATGCTTTGCTTTACTCACCTTTGAGTCTAATCAACAGTGTTCTGACATTTTTGATCCCATACGGTATCATTTAAGTAATGTTCAGAGTTCTCAAATAACTGTCAGATCCAACTCACTCGGCTGCAATCATGACAAAAACATAATTCTGAATAAAGCACTTTACATTCTACATTGATATTTTAAAGGTTAAAAGTATCAGTTAATCGAACCAGACTAAATGATGCCATTTTTTATAATGAAAATTGTTGTTCTTAGACTTGATATTCGTACTTCCAATAAATCTCAGAATACAAGAAAATGAATGTCTACCATATTTTAGTTTCCATTAGTTAGCCGGTTAGTGTTTATACCTGATGGAATACGCCTCATCACTTATGCTGAATGATCTCAATAAAATTACTTGAAATGTTTCAACCAATTACATCATTACGTCACTGATCATTCCTCTTATTTTCTATATTTCTCTCTTCAATTCTAAATTATCTTCCATACTTACTGTAGGAAAAGTAATTAGATAAGTTGCAAACCATTCATTAATTAGACTATTAAGATTATTCAATGAATACTCAGAGTGAATAGCATCAGACATTTGCTGAAATTTGTAGAAAACCAAGAAATTCATAAAGGATTTCTGTTTACACATAAATCAAGTGTTGCAGTGAAGATCGTAAAATCATAAAAGCATTATACAGGGTCAAGATGACAGTTGAACTTTTGTATTGATGACAAGATCGGATGCATATCGTCTTTTGTGTTTTGAAATTTCTGATTCTCTGTCTGATTGATTAGTGATTATTTAGATATGAGAAGATCGTCGTCGCATGTGATCCTCTCAGATAGTTTGAATAATTTAATTACCGACGATATTTTTAGCACTGAATTTAAATCCGTTACTATAGATAGAGAATATTGTCAAAAGGACGAGATTTGTTCAAATGGAGTTTATATGACCTTAGCTCGCGTATTTATTGGACAGACTACGTAAAATAATTAATTCTCTATTTCATAATCACAATGCACTACTTATATCTTACATTTTTCATGTGCGTTTTTATACATTTTCGTTTTACAGAACCGTATAATCTTTCATTCTTCAACTATTCTAATGATAGTTCAAATATAGTACTGAATAGTTCCAATTCCCAAAATGCGAATCGCTCACTTTTTCCACATATGAGTCTTCTTCCTACAGTGAGTTCAGTTGGTACTGAATTGCACCATTGTAATGAAGATAATGTCTTTACAAGATTTATAAGTAAGTGTGAACCAGAATTCGATAAACGTTGGCTTTCAATTCGTCAAAGTCATGTCTATAAATATTTACCATCCAATCTATGTCAACATGAACAAGGTGAGGGTACAATACTTGCTGTTGGAGTTGTTGTACCTAAACCAGATGCTTTGGATAATCAGAAAAAGTTATATGATTGGGAAGTTTCTAACAGAATTCATCATACAGATTCAAAAGATTGTAAACAACGAAATCAAAAAGAAAGATACAATTTACCACAAATCCCATCACCTGCATCTTCCGCACTTATTCGACTTTGGTTAAGTGAGCTGCACGCTAAAAATCCTTTCTTTGATGATGCCGCATTAGTTATTCGAGTTCAAATGAATATTGATCAGGGTCAAAAATCTGGAAATAATAGTCGTACTGATGATGATTTACATTTAGAGAATCAAGATAAGGATATTGAGTATGAATCGTATAATTAACGGACACATTACATTGTGTAAATAAATTGCTTGCGTTTTGAGTAAACAATAGTAATAATGTTAATTAAAATGTACATATAAACCTCAATGTTGATTATCAGTTTTATCAACTTAAGTATGGACTATTTTCTATGTATTAGTGGAATCATTGTTAAAGCATATGCTTTTTCTTCATGTATTTTACACATAATACATATCCCTACCTGTTAGAGTAACACTGATTAATCACAAGTGGGGACTGTGATTTTGTGATTATTCGATATCTTAATGAATGTGTCATAGTTTAATTTATCCATAGTTTTGCATTAAAAAACCAATTGATACTTTGTAATTTGTCGTACTAATCGATCTTAAGTTTTACTGAAATATACAATCAAGATTAAATAATGTTGAAAGACAGTCTTGCCTCGTGATAGTCATCTGAAAAACGTTAGTTTATACTTCGAATCTGCAAATCATAAACCTATACTTTATAGTAAATGCAAACAAGACCAAAAATGGCAATTAAAGTTTGAACAAGACAATGCTAAGTACGTTGATCCATTGGAACACACAAGCCCGTGATTGACCAGTTAGTCACTGATAAGCGAAACTAGTTGTTGAGATAGGATCGGTTGACGTTGGATAAGGGTTGTTTGGCAGAATATAAGCAGTCAGATGAAATTCCTGGCCAACCTCAGATCTTAAAGAACTTTGGGTGGACGAATGTTCCTATTTTAAATTCTGAAAATAGGTGCTGCGGCAACATCTGAACTAAGGATAGGGAGTGAAGTAGTCGAACGCGTTGACAACTTGACTTATCTTGGAAGTCTGATCAGTCCTAATGGGTTGGTTTCTGACGAAATCTCAGCACGGATTCGAAAAGCTCGCTTGGCTTTTGCCAACTTACGTCACCTATGACGAAGGCGAAATATCCGTCTATCAATAAAAGGATGAGTATACTGCGCAACAGTCCGTTCTGTTTTAATTTACGGCAGCGAAACATGGCCATTAAGAGTAGAAGACACTCGTAAGCTACTAGTATTTGACCACAGATGCCTCAGAAATATTGCTGGCGTCTGCTGGGATCACCGGGTCAGTAATAGTGAGGTTCGAGGCAGGGTATTAGGGAATGATGGTAAATCAGTTGATGAGGTTGTTAATCTTCATCGACTGAGATGGTTGGGCCACGTGTTACGTATGCCTGAACACCGACTAGCACGACGTACAATGCTAACCGGTGTTCGGGATGGTTGGAAGAAAGTTAGGAGCGGCCAAACCAAAACGTGTCATCAGTGCTTGAAGACACTAACTTGTAGTCTGAGCCATGTTGGCAGATGCAGACTACTTGGTTGGGATCCGCGTGATTGTCGTAACCGATGGTTGAAGACTGTGTGTGACATGGCTCAGAATCGATCACAATGGCGTCGGTGTATACACTCTCTGTCTTCCCTTAAACTAAGAGATTAAAATCGCTTCATACTTCTCTTTCTACGAACTAATTCTTTCTTCCTGTACTATATCCTTATATTTCAATCTTTCTTTTATATATTACCACCTCTGAATTAACTACTTTTATGAATCCGGTGTCCATCTTGTTGTGCTAATGCGGTATGGCAACTTAGACCGATGCATATATGTGCCTGGTCGTACGTTGTGGCTGACTGACTGCTGTTAATCACCAACGTAGATGGTCTATTTTGAATGGTTGGAGGTTTACTAAAGTTAGACGGGAATGGTATCACGAACCACCTCACTTCGAATTCACGCCTGGAGGTTAGCATCTAACGTAGTTATCCCTTCGACGTATCAAAGCACTATGGCCGCTTTGAACACCGTGTAACACAAAAAATGACGTTATTATGGAAATATATTTGTAGGAATCAGCACATAGAAGATAGCGAAACCATTACTGCGTGCACCAGTCCATGGCACACGATTAACTGATGCTGGTTGTTTGTCCTTGACAGGGATCACATCTGTTTGATATTCAATGACTGAACTGACGGATGGTTTAGCTACGGCTGGATGACATTCACTGGCCCTACAGATCAGTGCGTTCTGCTGCACAGATATTATTAGAATTGAGTGGTCTATATTGTATTCCAAAGGAGTCGCAGTTGTCAAAATCCAAAAATATGGATTAACGATTCCTTTGTACTTGTTGAATGCTTGATTTTGAATTCCAAATACAATACATCCGTTCGTCCTTGTTTAGTACTTCTTGATCCAATTGCATAATATCTGGGATCCCTAGTTTGTACTATAAGTCAAATACTTGTAATTATCATATTAGAGTTATCGAATAAATGCACCAATACAGAATTCACAAAATAGTGAAAGTTAAGGCAGATAGAACTGGGTGGACATAAGTGAATGTATTACATTTAGAATTCTTAATAAACGCCGAGTCAATTAGGGATGGATCCTCACTTAGTACAAATGCCGCAACGGCGTTATCGTAACCATAGTGTTTGATTGAAATCCTGAACTGATCTAAGTTAACCCACTAATGGAAACCTAAAAGTACAAGTTTTCGGCCGTGGATTTCACATAGCTTCATCAAATTTAGGTGCTTGCTCAAATGGTTTTATCGGGCTTTCGCTTAACGGGCTTCCATATTTAGTAGTAGTGGGCCACTAAAACCCCCAGGCAGAAACTTAAGTATATTATTGATAAAAGAGGAAATATAAAAAAATTGGTGAATAATAATAAGATAACATCCATCCACGATCGAACTAGTAGCAAGTGCGTTTCAACGTTGTCAATGCAAGGTTTTCTCGAAAAGCATTAATGTCGCAGTTAGCGTAAAACTTCAGATCATAGGATACCAATATTCTTAGATTCTTCCCCAACTTGGGATACCTCTATAAGTGAGCTACCCGAGTTGTATTCGTGGTCCGCAAAATGTCTCAGATGGATCACTTTACACTTCGAAGTATTAAAGGCAAGTTTATTGTAATCCGCCCAACTATGACGACGAGTAAGAATCTCCTGAAGTGTCAGTTTATTTCTTGATTGTCATCCCTAAAGGATAAATACAATAACGTTCTTCCCTTAAAGGTAACCAATACACCTCAGGTACAAATTTTTAGGGAAAAGGAGATGAACAACGGAAAAAGCGGCTCAGCTTCTCAGTGAGCATATGGAATCCATCAACAAGACAGTTTGAAAATCACGACTAGAAGCGCTGGGTTAAGTTTGTGAATCACTCACATCTTTGTTGTTTCAAATAACAACAGGCGGATCACTTTGATTACTGACGTCTTTATTCTACAGCAATGGCCGCCAATGTATAAGGACCTACTACTTTGATACAAGGTATTAGTTCATTTAATATCACGTAGTCAGTAAAATTAGAGAAATGCTGTTAGCTTTCTCGTAATTCTTGATTGAGACATCGCCGTACGATAGATCATGATAGGAGTGAATCTTTCAATTTAATATCTGTTCCTTCTGGCGGATCATTCTGAGGAGTGTCATATGGAAAATGAATGTGTAAAAACTTAATGGCAGGATGGTTGACACTGTGAGTGTTAACGTCTTCATACCGAAAGTCAGAGTAATTGTTAATTCTAAGAGATTGCTACATGTTGGAAACTTCTCCTGGCTCCTCTAGGTAAAGCCTAACAACTACTTCATTTCTCTCTAAAAGGATAATTTTTACAATTTTTCTGAATCGTCTGAATAACAATTACAATTCTTAAAAAAAAGAAGAAATTTCCCTTCAGCAAAAGCCCTCTTCTGTTTAAAGATTGGTTAGTGATCAGACACAAGAGAATCCTAAATTCTATCTTTGGGAGCAAACAGAGCTCTTATATGTCCAAGATCAAGGAAAATCGGGTTCTGATATTTTCAGGAGAGATTTAAACGGCTATAATACAAACAAATAAAGAGATATGATAATAACGTGTGACCGCTTTCGGAAGCAAAGAGAATGTTTGTCGATATATTCTTCTGGATAACAACCAGATTCAACAAATAAAGTACTTTTTATCTTTACGCCGAAATTTTGTTTAAACGCACCATTCAAACTTGTTTCTATGTGTCTTGTCAAAGTCAAAACATGAAAGTCTACAAGTTGTATGAATTGCGACGTTATTATGCTAGAGTATCATCATTAGCATTTGCTTTCGACACTTTCGTGGTTCTTATAATTACGATAATACCATGGATCATCTCGTATGTAACGGGTTGTAAGCAAATTGTCAATTTCTGAATATTACACCAATATTTATTTAGTCATGTATATAAATTCTTATGCTTTCCCAGAGAAACCTCTGATATCGTTCGACGGAAACATGCTTCTTTTTCTCCAGAAGAGTGATGGTTTTCTTTATTATGGTAACATACCACAAAAGGAAACCAACCATCTATTGAAATCTTCGCTTAGGCTACCTCAAATCAGTTACTACAATTCTAAAAATAAAAACATCAATGAAGAAGTGGCAGTTAATATTAATATCAAGTTTCCTCTGTCGCCGTCGGAAAAAATAATTGGTCTCACTATTGTACTATTGGTTGATGTTACCTTGTTGGTATATTCACAAGACATTAATTTCAGCTAATATGTTTTATAGCGTTTTTACAATAAGCTAGAAAAGGTTCCAGTATTTATAAACAAAGTTTTTCGGTCACATACTAGTGGATTTCTATATTCTGGGGACCTTTTGTGCTTTCGGAAATACTTGTTACCTTCTACACAAGTAAGTTCATGCTTTGCAATGAAATTATGGTGTAGGCTAGTACTTATTATGAAACCAAAACGATTCCAAGCAAAATCTTTGAGCTATCAACAAACATCTCAAGAGCTGGTAAGTTATCTATCAGGTAATTTGCTTTTTTTTTCTTCAGGATACTACTTACTTGAAGATAGAATAAGTGTACCTATAATACGCGAAAGTCTTTCAAGTACTTTTGATATAGAACTCTCTGTGTACTTCTCCTCTCTAAGAATCAGGTAAGTGTGCTGTGTATCTAGTCCAAAACACTATGAATGAATAACATACATTGTTTAACAAAGGCGTATCGGATAAATGCTATGAGAGGTGGTTTAGTGGTTAACACCCTTAACTTTCGACCACTAAGTCATGATTTCAGGCTCATTCCATCTACTTCCGTTCAGGTAGCCATATAGTATCACCATCCGTCACAATATAGACATTTCTCATGCCTTAACACCTGAAAAATGAATACCAACTTCATAAAGCCTGTTTTAGTTAAGTACACACATTGGTATCTCTGTCTTTCGAGAGTTTTACTGAAGTACTCGATTTTTTGAAATATTCCCATATTGTAAATTTAGAACAACATATATAAGCCAACAATGTTGTTTTTGATTAGATCCTCATCAGGCTTTACTCTAATATACAGTAATATTTATATGCATATACGAAATTATTAAACCAACCAAGGTAGTTTATAAGTCAATGATAACAGTGAAGACGATTACATAATAAGTGAAACGTGAAAAGTACGATTGATGGAGTGACAACAGATGCATTAGTTTTGATAAGAATAATAAAGGCTCGAATCAGTGTTACATAATCGGAAATAGGTCAATGATTAGAAAAATATATAAACTGGGATAACATTTATAAAATTACGAGATGTTTTTCACAGATTAAAATCATGAGTCAGTTGAAGCTAGACCACCATTGAAAACCTGGAAGCACTGGATGGCCGTTTCGTCCTAGTATGGGACTCTTCAGCAGTGCGCATCCACGGTCCCGCACCACGCGGGGCTCGAACCCAGGACCTACTGGCTTCACGCGCGAGCACTTAACCATTAGACCACTGAGCCGGCATCCAACGGTGTTAATGTCTAACTTCAACCAATCCACGAAGTTGCGCCACCATATACCATTGTCTTCAGTGAGCTGATATCTCACAACAGACCTGGTTGTACTCCACTGGTAACGGCTTCCCACTAGAACTCCAGGATAACATTTATAAAATTACGAGATGACATAATTGGACCATGAGACTTATAGTTGAGAGAAAATAAAGTGGTAGGATGGGGTGGAGAAAAGTAATAAACGAAGAGAAAGTTTGAAAAAGAATAATTAAATTCATTTATTACTTAAGACCAGGGGAGAGATAAGGGTGTTACAAATTTCTTCTGAACACAAAAACTTGGCTTGTTGGCTCGGATTCCTATAGCTTCTGCTATGTGTAAGAGACGAGATCGAACACCATAAGGGAAACTAGTGTGAATACGATAAATAACTTTGAACGACTTGTTTCTGTCCACTATATGACCGCTATCGATCAAGTGTGATAGAACCGAGCTGCGTATTGTTATGACGTAACCTTTTCCTAACCACGAAGGGAGGTGTTCACCAACTCGTTGATTCAGTTGCCTGGTAGTGTGTCCAATATATACTCGTTTTGTCGACTTAAAAGTCTGTTGATCGGTAACATGTGGTACAAAACTTCTTGAATATATGATGACATAATGCAAAAGGCAAACCAAATCTTTCACAATTAATCTCTTACCTCAATATTTATCTATTCTTGTTGCCTTTTTCCTCCCGTGCTACTTCAGAATATGAATGTTCTAAATTTTGCATGTGTTTAGCTTTTATGAGTCTTTAAATTCATTACCTTTTTTAATTGGTAAGTAATAGGTATGATAAAAATGTTATGTATAGAGCCAGTATACCTTAATTGACCAAATAATCCCTAGCAGAATGTTAGAACACTGGGAGTAACTACTTTTTGAATTCTGTCTTAACAATTTTGGCTGAAAAACAAACAAGTAATAGAAAATAAATAATCCATTTTAGAAAAATTATGATCATGAACATCTCCTCTAATTTTTCCATCATATTTATGATTGAGAAACGCTTGCAGGAAGTTTCTTCAACTAGATCCAAGTTTGATTGGTACTTGTGAATAAAATGTATAATCTTTAAGAAATCCATTCCATGTATACGATTTTCATTTATGAAGTCCCATTTAGTTTCACAGGAAAAATCTGTGTCAATAGTAAATTATCTATTATATTAGTGAATAAGATACCTGAAGAAAAGTCTTGGTTGTGATTTGCACTTGATTGGCTGAATAGTAAATGAAGAACACATCGTTTGAGTGACTTATATTTACCTTATACAATTAAAAATGACTTAAATGATAAAAGGTTATTGTTCTGCATGGTAGAATCCGATCTTCAGTTTACGAGATTAGTCATATCAAGTATTCTATATGTTTGTATCCATCCAGTGATCCGATCAAGGTCAATAGGTTTGAAAATGTCTGATTGAAATCACCAACCAATTGGAATCGAATGAAGATATAAGAAATATTTTATAAAAGTATAAGCTTTATGACATTATTGAAGCATTTTCAGCTGATGATTTGTAGTAAGGATGATTTTCTGGCTATCGGTTTCAAAATGTTAACTACTTGAATTTCTCCAACTTTGCTATAATAATTCATTTCTAGTTAATGCATTTTATAATTCCTTGCATAGTATATTATTATTAATATTGTCTTATAGTGTTAATCCAGGATTTTGGTATACCATCAAATTTGCATGGGTTCAATATTTATCAATTGGTTTAGTGATTTTTTATTTAGCTGAAAAAATGAGAGGATACATTTACGATAAACAAATAGTCAGAACAATTGTAAAGTCAACCATTCCAAAATCTTTGGATTAATAAAAATATCTACTTTGTTTTCATTTAACAATGAGTAATCTATAGTGTGGAATGACTTGGTCAATAAAGTGATGGATATCTTTGCATTATCTTTGAAATTTACTTTTGCCCATTTAATTTTAGTCGGTGAATACCTACGATCCCATCAAAATTACTTAATAAGATTTACATATCTCACAGCAAGCGCATAAATATCGAACAAATCTCAGCATATAATTTGGTCGACATTTTCAACTCAATAGCTTATTTACGTATAGAATCTTAAAACTAAATGGCGAAGCTTGCTTGAAAGTCTAGTTAAATCACAAAAAATAGTATACACACTGGGAGTGTACACTTTAGTCGTGAGGTTTATGGGTGTTAGTAAATACAGGAAAAACAAATCTTTGAAACTTGGAAAAAAGAATAGCAAAGTACACAGCTTTTTCGAACAGGAATGACTAAATTTCCTGAAAATAAAGTTTATTACAGGTCTTGAAAACGGTGAGATCGTTCACGATGATTCAGGCTACAGATAGTGACTAGCACAAAGTAACCAAACCATGAAAGATTGAAAAATTCTTTTTCAGGTAGAATAACGAACCAAATTATCGAAAGAGAAATTAGTTCGATGCAAAAAAGCGATATTATTTATCATTTATAATAAGTAATATACCTCAACACAAAAAGCAAGGACGAAAACACGTGGGAATAAATGTATATTTTCAGTCATAACCACGTATATTATATTAATAAGTTGCTCGAATAGATTATCAGAAACCACTGTGAACTAAACCAATCACGCTCAAACTCATAATTAAATGTAACAGCTCTCTAATCCAGTTCAGACACGATATCCAACACTAGAATGAAAGTTTAGTCCAGGTTTTAGTAATTCAAACTTTTACTACGGAAGCAAATTATAACCGTTTTCGAACAGATACTGCCTAAAATGAACCCGTAGCCGTAAGTTATAACTTTCCTTTTGAATCGATGAATACCGTGAGCAAGTCTTAACACCAACAGTAAGATGCCTTATTTATATAGTTGATGAATACCTTGGATGAACAAACGGAGTGGTAGTAGCTAGTGGTAATTTCTACGAATGCATTTCGTTATTCCATATGCACTTAACAAGAAAGTATGGTGTAACTGAACAAGTTCTCTTTCTCTTTACTTGGAATTTGAATTCATGTTGTTTATTATAATATATAAAGACGTAAAACGTATTATGTTAAGATCATAGTGTTTGATTCGACTTGGCAAACGTACAACAGTTAACTGGAGACTTATGGGTTCGTGTGTAGTGAACTATATGGTTCTGATTGTGGAGAATTATTTGGCATTCTTAACATCGTCGACACCAGCTTTAATTACACATAGATAACACTTGAAAAGTTAGACGATGGAACGGGGTGTATATAATTTATGGACGACCCTTGAGGGGTTCTGTAGTGACTTTTAGAAAATTCACCTACTTGCTACGATCAAAAGATGATCATAAATTAGTGTGAGGAATTAAAATAAGAATTTGAAGCTAGAAGTTAGGTCCATAAATGACAGTTAGGATTTGCATCATGAACAAACGTCAGCTATAATGCGAAAACGCCTTTTAGCCAAGACTTGCTATCTTTAATTTCATTAGTTCATCCATCAATTACAGTCTCACCAAGATGTGTTGTTTCTAGTAGGACATGTATGACGAAGTGAAGTAGAAAGGCTGACAGTGGAAAACATAGGCGAAGTCGTACTGCTGACTGTAGAGGGCTGTGACAGCAGTAAGGAGTTTCCCTCGAACGACTAGAATCTGCGGCGATGCTGGCTTTTCACAAGGAAGGAAGGGGTTAGAAAAGGTCGACCCTAAAAATGTCACACCTCACCTTACCTCACGGATTTCCGTCTCCGGCGGTAAGGCCCTTTGAAGAACGGAGCTAACACGTCAAAAACCTTCCACAAAAAGGCCGTGCGCGACCGGCCTCAAGCAGTTGTCCCTTGGGCTCTGCGGTCACGCTCCCAGGTCGTCAAGACCAACACTAATCCAATTTCCTTTTCAGGTTCCTCAAGAAATACCCTTCCACGGTGTGGGCAGCCGGGAAGTGACATCAGCCCTCATACCCGTAACAGCACACGAGACCAAGGTGGTCACATTCAAATCCTTCCTACACCTCCTAATACCTCTCTTATCTCCATGACTAACCCTCCTCACGTCTCTTTATCACCTCGCACCGCTAGGGCAAACGATTCGAGTACGTGGAACGCCATTCCTGGTCTCCTGAAACCACGCTCTAAACTACACGTAGGAGCTTTTAACGTACGAACACTTTGCCAAATAGGACAGCAGGCTTCCTTAGCTAGACTTTAGAATCTCGCGCCATCGATGTGTGCTGCGTCTCCGAAACGCGCATACAGGATCCGAGTAGCGTCATTCATTTGACCTCACCATGCCAAAATAAAGAACCGACTCGATTTACGCTTCGTGTATCTGGAAGCCCTGATTCTGCTTCCCGTGGCCTCGCCGGCGTAGGTATAGCATTGAGTCCTAGGGCAGAACTAGCTCTCTTAGAGTGGATCCCAGTAGACAGTCGTTTGTGCGCTGTCCGACTGAACGGAACAGTAAGAATCCGGAAAGATAGGGACACTCGTCGTCTCTGCCTATTCTCCCACTGACTGCAGCTCAGATGATGTAAAAGATGAGTTTTACAGAAAGCTTTCGGACCTTCTCCGAAAAGCTAGGCGCTCGGATGTAGTAATAGTGGCCGGTGACTTTAATGCTCAAGTAGGTAAACTAAGCGAAAGGGAAAGACACCTAGGTGGATCTTATGGTGTCGTGGCTCAAAGAACAGATAATGGCGACCGTCTGTTGCAGCTATGCTCAGATAACCGCCTGTTCCTTGCAAATACTAACTTTAAGCATAAGGAAAAACATCTTTTAACATGGCGACCCCCTAATTCGTCCCAACGTTGGACCCAAATAGATCACATCGCTATCAGCCACCGATGGAGGGGCTCGATAGAAGACTGTCGCTCATTCTGGAGCACATGCCTAGATTCAGATCATGCTCTAGTGCGAGCGCGTATTTGCTTGCGTCTTACTGGACGTAGGAAAGACGCTGCAAGGAAACCTCTTAGGGCCCTACTTAATGATAGTCAAGCTAAGAGTATATTTCAGGAACAACTAGGAAAACAGTTAGGCAGCCATGTATGTGATGCCCACCCCGATGCAGCATGGAATGATATCCGAAAAGCTGTGGAAACAGCAGTGATATCTGCTAGTAAGGTAAACCAGAAGGTTAGGGAGCAACACTGGATCTCAGCAGCATCTATCGCACTGATAGATGCTCGGAAACTCATTCCACCTGGCTCTGAACATAATGAAGAGCGGAGTCAGCTTAAGCGCAAGCTGACAAGAAGTCTACGCAATGATCGCGAACAGTGGTGGGTAGCGAAAGCAAGAGAGATGGAAAAGGCAGCGGCAATAGGTAATAGCAGACAATTGTTCAGACTCGTTAAGGAAACCGGAATTAGGAACCCGACCGTTAGCGAAACAATCTCAGAGAAAGATGGACATATTATTCATTCTCAATCCAGGAGATTGGATCGATGGGCAGAACACTTTAGGGATCAGTTCAACTGGCCTTCAGCCACACTTCGGTTTCCCACGATCTCTAGTCAACCTGAATGGCAAGTTAATGTAGGTCCTCCGTCCCTTTACGAAGTTGAAAAAGCCATAGGAAATCTGAAACGAGGGAGAGCAGCAGGCCCTGACAGGTTTACTCCTGAGATTTTTAAGGATGGTGGTCCAGTATTAGCAATGAGATTAACCGAGGTCTTAGGTAGAATTTGGGAACTGGACGTAATCCCATCTGACTGGTCTCAATCACTGATTGTGCCAGTTTAAGAAAGGACAAAAGTCCTCTTGTGACAATCACAGAGGAATCAGTTTGACTAATATAGTGTCTAAAATATTAGCTTCAATAATACTTCGACGCCTAACTAAAGCTCGTGAAGAAAACCAGGCTGGTTTTCGACCTGGACGTGGTTGTATAGATCAGATATTCACACTACGTCAGGTTCTAGAACATAGACACACAATTGTAGTATTTCTCGACCTTAAGGCGGCATTCGACTCTGATGATCGTGAGGTTCTATGGCAGTGTTTGTCACTGAAAGGAGTACCAAAGAAGTACATTAACCTTATAAAGGCTCTCTACTCGAACACAACTGGTCGAGTGAGAGCTTATGGCGAACTGTCATCAGAATTGATTACCTCAAGTGGTGTTGGTCAGTGCTGTCCACTCTTTCTATTCTTGTTTAACGTGCTTTTAGAGACGACAATTTCCTCATTTGAATTTCCAGGAGACCCACTTGTTGACTTAGAATATGCTGATGACATAGTTCTATTTGGCAAAGACACTGACAAAATGCATAGTCTCCTGACCACCGTAAGCAACAATGCAAGCATGTCCGTCATGAGATTCTTTCTTTGAAATGCAAAATGTTACTACAGGATTGGGTTGCATCGTTACCCGAACTAATGATAGAGAGTGAAGTAGTTGAGTGTGACGACCGCTTCACTTATCTTGGAAATCTCATCAGCCCTTGCAGTCTGGTGTGTGACGAAATCTCAGCACGAATACAGAAGGCTCGACTAGCTTTTGCCAACTTGCGTCATTTATGGAGTAGGAGAGATATCCGTCTATCAACCAAAGGACGGGTTTACTGCGCAGCAGTTCGTTCCGTCCTATTTTATGGCAGTGAAACATGGCCGGTAAGGGTAGAGGATATTCGCAGGTTACTAGTATTCGATCATATGTGTCTTCGAAACACTGCTCGTATATCATGGGACCATCGAGTAAGTAACGCAGTTGTTAGGAAACGGTTTCTAGGTAAGGATGGCAAATCAATTGATGAGGTAGTGAAACTTCATCAGTTGAGACGGCTGGAACATGTATTACGTATGCTCAACCGCCGACTGCTTCGAAGTGCGATGCTCAATGGTATAGGAGTAGGTTGAAAGAAAG